ACCCACACCCCACACCCACACCCACACCCAGACCCTTTATTTTTGAAGAGATACAAAGTTATTACATTCTCTTGTTATCTTTCGGTCGACGTATGTTTACATAGCGTATGAGCCGAAAAATAAGTTGGTATATCCCGTTTTGAATGACTCACTTTATTTTTTCTCTCTACTTAAAACAACGATTGTTTTTCACACTTTTTTTTTGACCATTCGTGTACATGCATACCTGAAATAACATTATGGTCAGCACAATTTTGGATGGTTTACCAGTCGAGTTGTTTTATCAAGTACTGTCTTATCTTTCATGTTCTCATATATTACGAGCATTTCATTTATTAAGCAGCTATGTAAATGAGATTCTCATTAGTTATGATCAATATTATTTGGATTTATCTTCATCAGATATAGCGAAAAATGAAATCGATCTTATCTGTTCATTTCTAAGATCAAATCAAATTATTGAATTGAAATTTGGTAAAACGAATTTTAATTTAGTAAATCAATTTCTATCAAGTTTTTCAAGTAAATAACCATTTATTCGTCTTCGTTCACTTTGGATTGATGATACAAGCATTGTTGATCAATTATTTATATCAAGATTAGCACCATTTATAAATTATAATAATCTCATTTCAATACGTATTAATCGTATTCATATTAGTGAACATTATACAATATCAAAGTACTCATTTAATTGTCTTTCACATCTTGTTTCATGTTCAAGTAATCAATTTCGTCAAATATCTAAAGAAATACCAACTCATTTAACATATTTGCATATGTATTTTGATTCTATTAATGATATGGATCAATTTATTCGTCCAAATATGAATCAACTACAATCGCTAGGTGTTGGTATTCAGTGTAGTGTAAATGACATCAATCAATTTATGTTAATTTTCAGTAATTATCAATGGAATCGATTAGTTCAATTGGATCTAAATTTCAATGGTAAGTGAGAAAATAAATATATTCTCGAATGCAAATTTAGTGTGAATAGGAGTCTTTGACTTGCTCAAAAACAGAGTCTACAGAGACTAACATATGAAAAAAATGAAAGTTACTGTATATCTCACAGCATAAAAAAAATAGAGAATAAAATTTATTTCGAGTGTACGCATTGGAATCGATCCATTTCAAAGTATGACTCAGGTAAAGACTTATAGAAAACGACAACACTTGCGTTAATAATCAATTAATAAAATATAATGGTCTTCTAGATTAGTTATTGATTTAAACGAAAGGCTCTAGAAACAGAGAAAGATGCACTAAAATTTTCTTCGTATAAATTCATTGTATATAAAGATATTTTGAGAATTTCAACGAAGAAGAAATAAACATGTCCTTGTCATAATATAAAATTTTCAAATATATCTAATTGAGGTTCTTCATAGAATTAATTGTAAAATCATGTGACTCTCACTTTCTCTTCGAATCTTGCGACTATGACAGTATTAGCTCGGTACAGTTATCTAGTCTATTCGTTAGCCGAAACGAAATTATCTTTGCAGAATGATTACTTCGAAGTGAGATCTGAGAATCTCTTGTTAAAAACTTGTTTGTCGTTTCTAAAAATGGATTCAATATGTATACGACGTGAATAGTTACCAACTGTCGAGTTGTAAATGGATAATTCTTAATTTATATTGAGATGGATTACATCTATTATGTAATCTTGTTTTTACTCAGTTTTCATCATACTTTTTCAAAAATTTCCTCTCATATGTTTATTCTTCATTTTTAGTCAAAAGTATCGTTTCATTTCGGATTTTGAAAGAAATCTTATCAACAATGTATCAACTAAAATACATCACTCTAAGTTAAAATGTGTCGGAAGTGTCGTGATTTACAACACATTCCATGACACATTCAAGCACGACACGAGGTGCTCGTTGCGACACATTTTCTCCAGCAAGCGTACGACACATTATCCCACTACACATCCGATACATTCTGAAATCACGTTCGAATCTAGGTTTCACCGTATCTATATTTTTTTTTCTTTCATGCATTATACCCATTAATATTTAATTAGTACAATTAACATCGGTGTTTGATGCAATACTGTAAAACAGCCAGATCTTGAGATCCTGTTATGTAAGGCTAATCAGATCTTGGTCAGACTACCGCCAGGTAGACCTCTCCTAAAGCGAGGTCATTATTTCTCGAAATATTTACGAGAAATATATAATCGATAAATATATTATCTAAAATGGTACACGAAAACTTGTGATTCTCATGTGATAGTTCAGATCGATCATATATAGATATACACGCGAAACAATATGCTAAATGAACAGTCGTCATATATGTACAGAACGGTTAAAAATACGACACATTAAAGTGCGACACATTCTCTTGCTGGAACCCACAACACTATAGTTTACGACGGAAAAAGTCGACACATTTTAACTTAGAGTGTTGACAGTCATACTCAATTAACCGTTAAGAACGCAGAGTGCTATACTGAATGGAGTGCAATGGAAATCTTTTCTTTCACTATCACTCATTTTCTTAAAAATATTTCATTTTAAATTTTATATTGAACAAACATTCGAACAAGAAATCTCTAGTCTTTTGAGGACATTTTCATCACCATGGTGGAGAAAAAAGAAACAATGGTTTGTTGAATATGATTCTCATCAAAATGCCCTTATTACCATGCCTTATTTTGCTTCAAAAACATTTAACCCCTTGAGGATGGGGTTATTTTTAAGAAAGCAAAGAAGAGTTTTGAAATCCTGAAGGATATATTTATTCATATCGATAACAAAAAATGTCTAAAAGTACTTTAGAGTATGATAATCTTGAAAACAACTGAAACACAAAGTCTAGCATCACATTCAGTACATTCGTATTTGGTGTCAGGGTGGGTGTGGGTGTTTGCATAATTTCCCTCTTTATGGACACCTCACACTTACCCACACTCACCCTCATACCCACACCAACACCCACCCCCAATTATGAATTGATTTGAAGCTGGACGTATATATACGTCGCCCGTCCCCAAGGGGTTAACAATCATTATTCATATTCATTTTATTCGATGCAAAACCCTAAAATATTTTATTCAAATATCAATGAATTAAATATTGATTTAGCTGAATACGATGATTTTGAAGGAATGCTAATGTTTCATTCTTTACCTTCACCAAGATTTAATCATGTGACAAAACTTTCATTAAATGGATGCTTAACAATAGATTTGTGCGATGCAATTCAAAATCATGTTAATCTTGGTATGATCCAACATTTTCAATTTTCATCAACTGTTGGTAGTACTGAAGTTCTTATGGAATTAATTAATAATATGCCTAATCTCTCTTCTATTCATATTCAATATTTACATTGTCTTGATTTATTTAATCTAATTTTATTAGCAAATCTTTCAATTCGTCATCTGGTTCTATTTGATTATGAATCAACAATAAGAAAACAACTATTCTATCATATATGTCGAGTTTTTTCACGATTAACTCATTTAACAACAGATTATTATTCACGACGAGCACTTAGTTATTTATTAACTAAACTTGTTTATCTTGAGCAGCTCACATTACGTTTAGCTAAAGATCAATATGCTTCAAATTATGGTTAGATTAAGAAGCATAGCAGACTACGAATGAATTCATTCGAATTGAGAGTATTTAATATTGCTCATAGAGAAAGAAGACTAGTTTTATGGATGAATAAGAATAATAACATGGAAGTTCATCATCATCATCATGAACATCATACATCAAAAAAATGTTCTATTCAATAATTTATTTCAAATGATTTTCATAATATGCTGCTTATTTGAATATTATTTTTCAATGAAAAAAATTGGAAATTAACTTTTGAAATATGTGTAGAAAAAAAGAACTATTCATTTTCTATTTAATCTCGAATGTTTTGGAATAAATAATCAAGATATGATGTTTCTAGTTAAATAACTATTATTATTTCACAACTATATGAATCTGTAGAATAAAGTGACTTTTGATTTGGTAGTAAATACAGTGGTATATCAACTGAATAGTTCTTTCTTGGGAAGTTTGTCGTGGAACACGACTGTTTTTAGAACTAGCTTAACGAAGGAAAAAAACCAAACGTTAAGAGTCCCCTTCTCAAAAACCGATCTCAACCAGGAACATCCCAATGCCATGAAATTTTGAGGATATGTTGGGGATGCAAAAGGACGCCTGTAGTAAAATTTTCAGCTACTTACTATGATGTATAAGGTACATAAGAATGAGAACCAAACAAGGGTCAAAAAATAGCTTATTGCGTCTCCAAAACTTCTCAGTAGGTATTCATTCAATATGCTTGATCAGTTTTTTATTTGAAAGAACATGTCACAATGCAGTGCCTATGAGAACCTTTTTTAAAAACCATTATCTTTCTGAGGAAAAAACTGCTTGACAAGTTCAATCGCTGAAAAATCTCTCAAAAAAATGGGACTTATTTTGTAAAATTGCTTATCAGTATAATAATAGCAAAACTTTATCAAAGTAACAACTTTCATAGGCACTACAGTTTTTGATGCTCTTTCAAACAAAAAAATGTTTGACATTATATTGTGTTATAGTTGACTTTCACTGGAGATGCGTCGTTCAGTCACCATTTTGAAAAAAATGAAAAAGATTTTTGGGTTTTTCGAATAAGAGTCGTCAGAAATCTTGAAAACTTTTCGACAAAAAAGGACGTATCGAAGAAAAGTTTTTATCGTTTTTGAATGAGAAAATGATCGGGCAATCATCCTATCTATTTATCTCAATCTTGACCATTCTGTCAAAAACTTTTTTTTAAATATTGTATTAGTAGCAGCAAGAATTTTTATCACATACAGATAACAATTGTATCATGAAACATGAACCATGTTGTTGTAAGAATGATTGATATTTACGAGTCAATATTTTCTTGAGTAGATCGTTGGCATTTAATCAGTTATTGTTGTTTTATCTGTATGTGCTTCTTTTCTTGTTTTATGATCGTCAATATTTATTATGAAAAATAGAAGAGATCTATTTCTTTATTATATTACATTAACAATTGTTTGTAAAACAATGTGACAAAATAATTAAAGATGTACAAAGTATTTTCTCAATATTTTTATTGAAGTCGTAATTGAATGAATCGAATAAAATAAAATTTAAATTTTACAAATATATATTTTGTACTAGTGTATATAATGAACATTGTTTGACTTTCTTTAAAACTTGATTTTAATAATCGGTTTCTTTTGCATAGAGCCAGTACCAAGTCAATGAGTATTTTGGGCTGTGGGTGTGGGTGTGGGTGTGGGTG